CATCTATATGGTTCTCGGATGATCCGCATTTAGTTGATAGTTCGTAAAATTCAATCTGTATTGCTGATTGAATGGACTCAAACATGTTTGTTAGTCAACTCCCTACTTTTCCTACTTTTGTTGGTTTACAGTAATTCGTTTAAATCAAACTATTCCATGTTTGCTGGTTGAAACTCCATGTTTGTTTGTAACATCTCTTTTCAAAATCAAATTCTACAGAATCTACAAGAAACCCAGTTGTTTAACCATGACCATGAACATGTTTTGTTACACATGTTTCTCATTGTTTTTCTGTAAAGTTTCCGTGTATCCAATCCTTTCCTGATTAGTTTTTCCCATGGACTTCACAACCCCATCTCGCGACCTGCAGGTCCCAATGCACCAGGCTGCGGTCTGTGGAGCAGCTCATTCCCTGGAACCTGGCAGGGCGATAAAAACTGGTGACTGGGAGGGGACTGGTGCGATGGGTCTCGGCCCATGAAAATGAGGCTATGAATCTATGAACATCTATGAACCATTTAAACTACCATCAAAGCTGAGGATGCTGAGGTATCAACCACCAAAACTGGGGGTCTTTCGCTGGGGTACTGTAAACTTGGCTTCGTTGACTGCCAGTCAACCAGGAAATGAATGTAAATCATTCAGAAGGCAAAAAAACATTAAAAAAACAAGGTAGGCGGTTGATGTGAGGTGCCCTATGAAGGTTGTCGATTTCAATTTGAGTTGTCATGTCATGTCGATAGAAACGCGGTATTTGCGGCATTTTCTGATGCACATGAAATTTCATGTTTCTGTTCCGATGGCAGGCGCCTGACTTTATAGTAAACCTGGACCTTCAAGATTACAAAACAAACTGAACACTGAACTACCTGTTGGAACTTTGAACGCAAATCTGCGCAATCAATGCGCAAATCTTGTAAACATGCCAGGTTGGCCAATTTATTGGATCAAACGTTCAGAAATCAAGTGACACAAGAATATTTGGACATCATTGAAACATGAGTGAACAAGATTGTTTTTGAAATTACGTTGAGTGTGAGATGGACATGAATTAGAGACGCCAACAAGCTATGCAATTCTTTGAGACATACCCACACATTATATATACTAATAATATAATCTAATATACATGTATTGTCTCTGCTCGCCCGCTCCACCATTCAGGCATGGTCCCACCACCCTCTGTAATGGCAAAAATATACTGGACCTGTGTCCTTTGTATGACAAAAGTTGTAGTCTGTTGATCCCTACATTCTCTAAACCACAAACAAAGCGCACGCAAAAGACCCACAAAAGTAAACACGTTGCCATTTCTTTTTTTGGACATGAACAGAAATTCAACTAATATTTTTTGTGGGCTCACCTACCGAAGCTTTCAATGCTCAGTACTAGCAACAGTGGGGACAAACAAAAGGCTCACATACTTTCGACCTGGTGACAAAAAGATAAACAGATAGGGACTTGCATTATATTACCTGCATGTGACAATGCATGCCTGATTGCTACCTGTGTGACGCTACGATGAGACATTTGTAGCCGAAGCTGAGTGGTATAGTGACCATTCCCTATGGTGTGGAAATGCCTGTTCACTTTTGGTTGGGAACGTTCAATGTTGGTGAGCAACGCTTAAAACGCATCATTTTCTGATTGAACGTGCAAACAAAACATTGGATTTCCAGTGTTTTAGTGACTGAACTGTTACCTCTTTTTTGAACATCAGCGCTAGAGGATGTCACTTCAGTTCTGCAAAGTCAAATTGCTTTCACTGCTCGCGGCATTGTGCAGCCACATGTGGTTCATTTTGGAGCTCAACGCTTGGATTCACTTTGGAGTTCAACGCTTGTTGAAAACTCTGAGGAAGCCATTTCTTTAAATGACGCAAAGTGGAATCCAACTTCTGCGTGACAGCCACTATCGATCGAGAGCATTTGCAACACAGACTTCTGTAGGTGCATCTGTTTGTGGAGATTTCTGTACGCAAGACGTCCTAGCATGAACGTTACCACATCTTCACCCCACGCCAACCCACGACATTCAATGTAACATCCACAACGTAAGACGTCCTATCATGAACGTTACCACATCTTCACCCCACGCCAACCCACGACATTCAATGTAACATCCACAACGTAAGACGTCCTATCATGAACGTTACCACATCTTCACCCCACGCCAACCCACGACATTCAATGTAACATCCACAACGTAAGACGTCCTATCATGAACGTTACCACATCTTCACCCCACCACGACCCAAGACATTCAATGTAACATCCACAACGTAAGACGTCCTATCATGAACGTTACCACATCTTCACCCCACGCCAACCCAAGACATTCAATGTAACATCCACAACGTAAGACGTCCTATCATGAACGTTACCACATCTTCACCCCACCCCGACCCAAGACATTCAAAATTTCTGTATGCCTTCACAGGGCGTCGTATCAACCGCCTGCCAAAAACAACTTTCCCATCGCCGTATCAAATCCAGGTCAGAAATCACGGTGACGACATCATGTGGGTTTCAATCTATAGTGGCTACACACTGTGACAATAGCACAGGCTTGCTAAATTCGTAAATCCTGGACCAAATCAACACAGAATCTAAAGAATGACCAAAAAAAAAGGAGTACTCCTGCGAATCACACCCGGCAAGCGGATCGGAGACGAGCTCACCATCGCTGATAAGACTTACGAGCCATGGATCCATGGGAAGTTGAAAGCCTGGTTTCCACCAATCCCCACCATTGAAATACCAAAAGGATATCTACATATCTAATTATATAATATTATATATAATTCTATTGTATTCTAATGTATATACACATATTTGTATGATATATTGATATACTGGGATCAATCACTCAAACACCAACCAATAGGTTTTAAGACATTTCCCACATCATGCTGCTTGCACCAAGCGCCATCTGCATCCTTTTTTCCCAAAAGCAGTGGGAAGCTGCCAAGCTGCATTGGTCGAAAGTGGGGCCTTGGGTGCAAGTTCCACCAGCTGCGTTTGAAGTCAAAATTACATTCCTGAAAGATTCAGATGTTGAGGATGATGATAAAACAAATGAACTCATACTGTTCTTCGCACATGTGTTTGCATATGTATAGAGTATATTAGATGCGAATGGCAGTGGTTGTTGCAGCATCATTGGGTCTTCACCTAGCTGCTGTTTCATCCGTGTCTGAAGATTTCAGAAGAATTTATGATGCCAGCCATGCAGGACTGACATCAAGAATCAAGTATTGACCCAGCTGATGCTTTGGAACATGTTTACGGATGAAACTGACATTGTCCACAAAACTCCATTCAACAGCAGAGAAAAACGTATCCAATCTAAACATGAAAAAAAGAACAAGACGCCCGCTAGGCACCGCAAGTGCAAAATAATCAGGTGACATGCCTAAACTTCCGTGCGGGGGGTTTACAGGACGGTATTTCACCATTGAAAGCCACAATCCCTTGCGCCTGTCAGCGAAATTGCCTTTTGAACGGCTTACATTTGTCTTCAAAATCATCACTTTTTGCTTTTTTCAATCGCGTCTCACCACAGTTTTGGAGTTTTGGAACCCTTTGTTTTCGTATTTTTCGTCAACTTGACTTTGTACCTTCACATGCTCATGTGCTTTTGCAGTTGCCTGGCAGTCGATCTCAGCACGCAGTTTCTGCTGTGCCTTGAGCGCCACTGCCACTGCCGCACGTAGGCCATCAGATTTTTGTTGATCTCGCCTTCCTTTCTACTATGAATGCTCGGTGGAATCGTTTCTTTGATTTTCCATGTGCAATCGATTTCACCTGTATTGCAAAGATCTTGTTACCTTGGCATCAAGATAGTGTGCATGTAAACATCATCATTAATAGCCCACCCCACCCCCCACCCACCAAAAACAAAGAAAAATATCGGCCGGTTTCCCCCCGTCAGCATCAACTTCAAACATCTATACAACCCCCGTTCTAAATATGACTCTTGAATTGCATTGAACTGCCTTATGAGCCGTGGTCAAAAGATCTTGTCTTTCTGCAGGCATTTAGGGAATGCTTATGTCGTAGCTTACGTGGTGCTTACGCACCCACAGGCTTACGATAGCTTGCGCTGATGCTTTGGCGGGCTTACGCACGCTACGATTTTGCTTATATATAGTGGTCCTTACTGCCTCCCCCTTGCTAAAAATGAACAACTGGGTTTTGAACGTGGCTCACATACCTTATTTTGGAAAGAAGTCCGGGTATGATCACGCATCGTCCCGTAAATAAAAAGACATTTTACATAACATATTTCGACCGAAACACAGCAGCTGACACCTGTGAAAGGCAAGTCAGTAACGGTGGAATCACTCTTTGAAGTATCCAACTCAAATGCACCCAAGCAACATCGGATCCACCTGGTCAGTTAAATGCCAAGGTATTTTCAGAGTTGCTGCTCTTCTCCTGAAAATCTGTGCAAAGCGCGACCAGCGACCAGTTGAATGTGCCCAAAATCATGGAGGATGGGCCTCAAACCATGGCTTTCTTCTGCTGAAATAGATGATAACTGCTGAACAAGCAAGCATGAATTTGAATGAAGCTGTCTTTCAAAAATCCAAGGCTTCCATTTGATGCTGAGGCCCAAAAGCTTAAACAGGACCACACCCATCCACCAATTGGGTGACCCACGTCTAGAGTCTAGAATTTCTATATAAGCGACCACCTGGTTGCTTTAATTGGAGGTGTCCATATGGTTCATCATTGTTTCATATTGTTGTAATAAGTTAAACTTTATTAACGGCAAGTAAAAAAAAAAAATCACTTTGTTGAGCCAGGGTTTATCAGTCGGGAATGAGCATGATGACACTTATGAAGTGAAGTTTGAAGTCATCCAGTATTGCCAGTATTATTGCTATGAACAATCTTGAATTGCGCAGGAGTGATCCTTCAGTAATCAAACCCGGCTTGCTTCACAATTTTGCATTGAACATATATGAACATTTCTTATGTTTGTTTTCACATAAACTATAGATTTTCCAACTGCCATGCAGGACATTTCCGCAGCGGTGTGACCTGGTGGTACTTCTGCGAGAGTTCTCCGTACTTCGACGTGATGCGTGACACCTCTCAGGCTGTTTGGCTGTGGTGAGGTCCTCAAAAGTTCCTAGTCACCATTTTGACTACGTAATTATAGGCATTGAAGATAAGTTGATAGTTGATGATTGTTGATGATTTATATCATTTCAAAAAATCAATATGTTGAACATGTTCAAGCGCCAAGCCTTCAAAACCACTCCTTTTGAATGGTCCATCTAGATTTGTCTGAAACACGATACTCCAAACTACAATGGTTTTGTTAATCATGTCTCCCGTTATTACTTGCATTTCATTCCATTTCTGGCTCATTTTGGTGTACCCTCTGGTAATTTAACATGGAAAACTCCCCCCATTTGGTTCGACGACTTTCCCAACTTTCTACCGTCCTGCTGGGTGAGCGCTGGTCGGTGATCTTCAGGAAGATGTTGAATCAATTCCTTTCAGATGGCAGGCTGATGGCAGGTATAAAAATTGACCCGGCAAAGACTGGGTTGAGTTCAAAGGATACAACATATAACATCATAATCATCATAATCATCATATAACATAAACGACTGGTTGGTGCTTAAGCCACCCGGCTGAACAATGTTCGCGTCAATTGAGATCATCATTTCATTTCTGAGGTCGAACAGCTCGATTTTTCCTGCAGCATTTGACATCCTCGCCTCAGACCGATACATATCGTCCAATTATGAGACATTCTGAGGGCGGTCACCCCACCAAGGGCAAGGTGGAGCCGATGTGTAAAAACCCCCAAAAAAGAATCTGCAACAGCCGGGCATCTGTGTATGTAATCCCCCCTGAATACCACCTGCATAAGACCCCAAATGAAGAAATCCGGTACCTAACCAGGCTTTACTTTATATTGGGGGACAAGGGATCATTTGCCTAAAATCGTCAGGTTTTTGCGGGAAAAAAACAACATGACCTCTTCAAAACTGTTTACATATTGGCACATCCCGTTTGTCCTCTCCTACTATCTCACAAGATGGTACTCATATTTCTGCATCATAACCGGGATTCTGGAATGCCAGCAGAAGAGCAGAACTTGTTGCGAACCTGCGCAGGCTGTGGCGCTGGGCCAAGGGTGAAGTTTCACGTAACTGCACATACTTACTGGTATGGTATATTCCTCACTTTTGGAGGAACAGAAACAACACACACATATTCAAAACCACTCACCGCCTTGGTTTACATTGGAAAACAAACAATGATACCACCAAGCTGAGTTGGGATGTCAGCTATACTTACAAGTACAACACTCAGGATTTCTGGCAGATTGGCAGATTATTGGGCTCTTTGACCTGATAGAGATCTCAACTCAAGCAATGAACCGCTGCCCGATGATCGTCGCAATTTCTGTACTGCCAACATCTGTCTTGATTCAGAATTGTCAAACGTTTGCGATATATGCAGGGCTGCACAACAAGAAACAAAAGAATAAACAAATTCAAACATGGCATTCTGGATTTGCGCTAACATTTTTCTATCGGGGAAACAACAAAACATGGAGGAGAAAAGCCAACTAGAGATGATTCCAGCGATCCAGGGCTTAGTTGCTGCATCTCGCTCCATCATTTTTCTTCATGGGAAACACACAGGGTACCATTGGACCCACAGAAGTCTAGTCATGTTTAGTATTGACAGTACCATATTGTTTAGCTATTTGTGTCCAAATATTGATGTCATTTGATGTCCCAAAATGACGATATTTTCACCACGAGAAAAAAATTCGGCCAGGTACGGCCGGGTACTGCCTGGTACCGCTCCACGGCCCAAAGCTCGTGCATGATCTGCAGGTCATGGGGGATGCCTTGATCCCTGGTGGATTCATAGGGAAACAAATAGACAATCCTTGGAACGGGCGAATGGCAGCGAAAAGGGCTGGATTTCTCCTCGTCTATGAGAGCCCCATTGGCCAATGACTATACTATGAGAGCCATACGGCTAGAGGCCTCCTTAGACATGGTGGGCTTTGATGGTTGAAATAATTGACCCGAAATTGAAATGATTCAATATTAGTGATTTAAACATATATATATATACACATAATATACGTACAATTGATATGACTGTCCCATCATGAGCAGCATGACAATAAACCGCAGGAACATGTTGGTTTCCGAATTTAGAGTACTCCGAGCCATTGGTTTTCCCCAGTTATCTCAAAATTCATCAATGTTTGGATTTCAAGCCCCCCAGCTTTAGGACACCACCGGGCCGTGTGCCAAGTGCCAAGATGCTTCTTGTATCCAGCCCAAACGATGGCGGAAACACACATGCAACACGGCTCGTGGGTGCTCAAAAACAGGCACTCCTAGCCGAGGCTTGGGGGCCAACGGATGCCAACGGCCTGGGTCGCTCATTGATGTGTTACACCAAGCGATTCCCGGAAATGTATCAAGGGAGACTCCAAAAGAAAAGGCTCATGTTTCTACATCAATTTCAATCGTTTCCTGTCAATTGTGACCTCATGAAAAAATCAAGTTGGTTGATTAGAACACCTCAGATTCAAATCAGCCACCTTGCACACAAACATGAACAATACAGTGGATTGAAACCCGCAACAAATTGTGATTTTATCAGCAGATCCAGACCGCCAGACCGCGACGTCCTCGGGGTTGGGCCGTTGATCTGCTGGAAGCTCACTCAGTTGCTTGATGGTGTAGACCTCCCCATGGTACCTGGAGAGGGGAAAATATCCGGCTAAATGATTTCCAGCATATATCTGTATCATATTGTATATATCATTATGTATCTAGATCTAGGAAATATATAATAACTATAATATGGTATAATTGCACTAGGTCAAACTTAAACAAGGAGACAACTTGCCAATGTCTCGACCTTCAGGGCTCACAAAGGGCATAACATCTCGTGATTGGTCTCAGCAATGACCGTGGGGTACCCCTCCACATCACCTCAAAGCCACGAAGAACTTATGACGTTCAGAAAAATACTGCCGCACAATCCGCTAAGCTGATGCACCACACACACAAAACCAACTGCACCATATCGGAATTTGCCATCTGTATATATATATATATATAGATATATAGGATTGTGATGGATTGTGCAGGTACATACACGTTGATAGAATGCACACCATCTCAACTCCAGACCATCAAAGGACAGGAGGCTGAGCATTAGGCCCCCATCATAAGAACTCAAGTTCTAGATTTGTGTCATTCTTAGCATTGATCACATATTTTGTTCCGTTTTCAGCGTACCACCCACCAAAATGGATTCAAAAGTCTCAATTAGTTTGGTACCAAGATTTGGTTGTATTATCTGATATTTGAATGCATTTGTTCAGCATAGTTCAGGTGATCTTAGCCCATATCGCTCTAAATCTCTACACTGCACCGGGGCGCCGAGGGGCGGAGCACGGCAGCACCAAAGACCTTGTTGCCCTCCTTCACCCCTTGCGCAGTCTTGGGCAGCACCTGCGCTGCGGCCATGTTTGGCTGGTGTGAAACACCACCCAGCTATCAGAAATAGCGATGTCAGAGAGGAAAAGAAAATCGATGCGTTAAAGTTAAATGCATTCAGCAAGCTGCAATAACCTGCACATTCAGTTGGTTGTGCATGTGTTACGTGTCCAGTATCTCAAACCTGTGCAAATATGTGACAGAAACCGTAGAATATCATTGGGAACACCTTCAAATCGCATGATCACAATCTGATGATTAGATAAAGACAGCCCAAGTGGACAGCACACAAACCTCGACCCCTTGGCTTCCAATTCTCGCACCATCGTGCCTCTTCCTCAATGACACTCAGCAAGCGAGCCAATTGTTTGGCATCCAGCACTGGTGTGGGCAGAGGTGTAGGGCAACGTTCCATTGACGGCCCTTGACCACAGCCCTTTGGGCTGTGAATCAGCAAAAGTGAATGAACTGATCCCAGAGTTGATGGGAGCATTTAAAGGAAACCCCTGCTAGATTTGATATAGTAAAAACGGATTTACTGCATTGTTTGATATTTTTTTCCTCCAATCTATCCTTTGCATTGAAATGCATTGAAAGAGACAGCTGTAGACAGCTGTCGTGCCTGCAAAATGTCTTTCTTTCAGTCAGCATCACTTTAGTCTTGTCATCATATGCAGTCAGCCGTGCTCGAGAGAGCCACAATTATGAAAGCCATCAATTTGCAATGGACCATAATCTTAGGTCTGTGATGTCTTTTACACACTGCACACTTGTGAACACAATGTATTTTTTGTATAGTCACCAATCAGCTCAAGTCGACTGACGAGCTTGAACCGAACCACAAAAAACCTGCAAGATCTGCAAGGTCATCCCTGGCCCTGTGCAATTTTCTCTCCAATTTTCATTGTGGATTGCAAAGGATTGCAAAGGTTCATGACCATGCCATGCCAGAACCACAATTCCTCTGCTTGGTGCTTGATCCCCTAAAGAATATGATCGTCACTTGGGATTGTCATCCCGTGTCTAGAGTCTAGGGTTGAAAATCAAAGTCATGTGGGGGGTTCCATAAATAGTCACAAAGGGGGGATCCCAAAATGGATTAACATGGATAGTTTATGGAAAATCTTCTTAATAATAGATGATTTAGGGGTACCCCCCATTTGGGGGTCAAACGTGTCAGGGCCCACGTGGACCAATCTACTCGCAGGTCGACAACTTGACGATTGTGTTGGAGCATGGCCCTGACGAAAACGCCCCGGGGTGTAAAATGGCATGGGATCAAATGTTCGGAATGTGTTCCATATATGTCAAAATAATTCAAAATCTATGAGGTAAAATCAGATTTACATCAGATGATTGATTGTCCAAACACAAACAGGCTGGGTTCAACACAGCAAGAACTGGAGAAATGATATCATGATGCCCTGTATGTATATATATATACATAACATGTTTATATACATACCAGTATATTATATATATATGAGATTATAATTCACAATCATTTATACATAATACAGAATATATATATATATGACTACTGACTGACAATGGGTCGCATAACATACCATGGGGCAATCCCACGAAGGGACCATCAATATGTTTCCGCGATGCTTCCAACAAGGACAATCACGGAAGACCAGTGCATGCAGTTATGGCCCTTTACCACCAGTCAATTCTAATCCCAATAATCCCAATGGATGGAATGGTATATGGAATGATCACCCCATTCAATCCAAACACTTTGGAACTTGTATAACTCGGGCTTAAAAACTTACTGGTGCTTATTTCGCAGGGAATTTTCGGGAATGATCCACAAATATCCACTGGCTAACTATCAATTTCATCATCCCATAATAATCCCAGCAACCCCCAGCAACCCATCCATTCCCATCCATTCCCTACGTAAAACGCACCAGTGTTTGGTACCGGTCCTCACGCAGGACTTTGTTCGGAGATCCCACACCATGAGGTGGCGATCTGATGAGCCGGTGACAGCCTGATGGGCCAACATGGGCCATGGGGATGTACCCGGCCTGGTGATGTCAACAGTTTGCTATGGAAAATGGCCATTTATAGTGGATTTTCCCATGATTTTCCATGATTTATAGTGGATTTTCCCATTGAAAATGGTGGATCTTTCCCATCAGTTATGTGAAAGTTTACCAGGAGGGTAACATGATGTAACCATTAACCAACTGACAACCGCCGGGAATTGTCAAATTGAAACATGAAGGTTTCTGAAATGATATTTTTGTGGGATGCCTTTTCCCAACCAAATGATGTCCTCTTTGTTGGAAAAAGAACGGGGCTGGTCTGGTGTCATGTAAAATTATATAATATGCCCTTTGGGTGCTCAATAGGGGATTCCCCTCTGTTGATCAACTAATCTAATCACTTCACCAAGAAGACACGACGGACTATCGACCACATACTTGGATGTGCATACCACTTAGTAAGTGCTTTATAATTTGTAACCCATATAATCCATGTATATATATATACATACATAATTAAACTTATGTGTATATATATATATATGTAATTATATGTATATGATATATGAGTGAGCAGCCCCAACGGCGGATCTGCCTTCTGCCCACCTTCTGGATCGATGCTGGCACACCAAACCTAGCAGAGATGGCGAAGGCTCCAAGGGAGACAGGATGAGACAAGGTGAGGGTTTGAAAGACATTGAAAGACATTGAAAGATTGAATGACTGACGACTGAGATAGACTCTACACTCTAGAGCAGCTTTCTTGGCACACACGCAGGACACCAACATACACCAACTATAGATCACTATAGATCCGATTGGGCATGGTCACAATTCAAGACCCGTGCCCACGCCAATGCCCTTTGCCGTTTGAGATGTGCAAACTGCGCAGTACATTCACACGTAAAGACACACGCAGTGGTGTCGGTGTGATGATGCCTTGAGAGGTGAAGCGATGTCTGAGAATGAACAAATTCACCTTAAGTTTCACTTAGTGCGATTTCTTAAACTCACCTTTGCCCCCCCTCATTAATGGGACTGAAATGTCTCCGCGTGTGATTTCTTGAAAGTTCTCTTCAATTAGTCGACTCCTAGGGTAACCTGCGACCATACTACTACTTCCCTATCTGCCCCCATCTGTTTTTTGCCTTTGTACTAAGCAAAGTATAACAATTCGCCAAGCTGAACAGTTTTGATCATGGGCTAGTCACCCCAATCCAATCACCATATGAGGGTTTCCAGGAATGGGGGTCCCCCCAAATGGATGGTTTCTAAGGGAAAATCCTATTGAAAATGGATGATTTAGGGGTACCCCCATTTTAGGAAACCCCTCAGTTCCAGTCCCCGGTGAGCCCTTGACTGGTCCAGTGTGCCCCTCCATGCGGCAGGTGCATTGCTGCGTCTCGAGATCCCACACCCTGGCGGGAACGGAACTAAAGAGTGGGGATACTTCCGTCTGGAACTTTTCAATGTCCTAGACATGGATAAGGGTTAATACAACCAAACTATAGGAGTATATAACAGCAGTATATATATAATGTATGTATGTATATTATATATATATACTATGTATGTATCTAGATATAGAAGTATATAAATATACATATAGGGTTTGTCTGAGAATAGGGTATAGTTACATATAGTTACCCAGTAAGTTGCCATTTTTAATGGAACCATGATGATGAAGCACTGAGTTTCTGGGGATGGTGGTCCCCCAAAAAAAGGGAAAGTAAGATCCTACTACACGTAGATAGTGAATGAGAATGATAATTTACTGTTCTATGTTTCTAGCTAAAAGTGGTACAGTGAATCACGTTCTTCTCGTTTTGTAGGTGACAGCAATTAGAAAGATGCTGCATCAGTCAGCTAAAGATTCTACTCATCCACTGTCACAATAGTATACAATAGTCACATGTTATCAGGGGAAAAACATGTTTTTGTGTTTGGTACCACCAACCAAAAGTATTGTGCGTTTCCTATGCAGTTCCTCTCCATCTGTGAGTTTTTTTCGATGATCCTGCAAATGGACCTGAACAAAACTGTGCCAGGCAGGCCGAATCAGCTGGTCGTGCCCCGCACTCAGGGCAGTTTGACTCTTCCAGTCCACGGACACGGAACACCTTCGTGCGAGTGGAAATGAAGCATTGGATATCTATCAAAGCAAACATCCTATGGTGGTGAATAAAACATTATCTAAATAGAATATATATCATTTGGGAAGGCCCGGAAATGGGAGGATACACGAAGATAGAAACTCATAACAACCCAGTGGACTTTCACAGACCCACGAGTATACCTATATATATATTATAAATATATATATATATAAATAGATATAAACATGTGTCTAATCTTATAATCTAATGTGCATGATATATATATATATATCCACGGTATATTATATATCATTATGTATATATATAATATACAATATACAATATTCGTTTTGTTATCTTAATTAAAAAACAACAATGTAATGTATAATAATATTATAATAAATATTGATATATATATATATATATAATGTAAATCATAAAATATATACTATAATATATATATATAAGCATTACTATAATAATATATATATATAATAATAAATACATCGCTGGTGAGGTTGGTCAGTGAGGTCACTACATATTAAGAATGAGCATATATGAACCAAACAGTGGACAGAATCAAGCACGGCATTAATTCCCACTCAGAAGCCCATCCTGTGATTCGTGAGAAAAAAGGCAGAATGAAGGGGTTAGGGCATCATCGTCATCATGTACGAGGAACCACGAAACACCCATGATAAATAGATGGCTACGGGTCATACGTGGATATCAAAATCATCATTTTTTCTGAAAAAAAAACTCTGTCCAAACACTGGGCAACCCTAAAATCCACTGATTTCTCACAGTATTCGCAAGAGAATGGGGTACCAGTACCCCCAGTTCCATTCGAATTCATACTGTTCATCATATATACCACATTATAAATTATATATATGTATATGCATATTATGTACAAACTTGACACCTCATTTTTTGGGACAACAAAGAAACCCATGTCAAGCGTTTGCGTTTGTCTAAAGATAGGTGATGATCATCATGTTTTCTAAAATTGTTGTTAGGTGGTAAAACCAATTTTCAGAGACACACAAACACACACACACGTGACATGTTTATATATATATATATATGTTGTTCTGCCGATTTTTGACAGTCACGGAACGTGATAGATATAACATTATCTTAAATTATAGCTGGTTATACCCCCGTTTAATAGTTTTTAATAGCTTTGAGATGTTGTGGCCACTATCGTTCCCAATAAAATAGTCTAAATAGTATTTGGTATATTTCCCACTTGCAATTACATCACATGACCACCGTCCACCCCTCAATAATCCCCAATAATGTGGGTACCCTCTGACAAT